TATATAAAACAGAATGAAAATTAGATCAACGAGCTTCGCAACATAACAAATACAAGTGAAAACGTGAATGTTGCGGCTATAAAGCTTTCATCAGCATATTCATAAATCAAACCATGAATATGTCTGGGCAGAGGCATAGCAAGGAATTATAATCTTAGATTATCTCAGAAAAATATTGCATTACCAGGAAATCTGGCAGTTATATTTATAATGGATTTTGTTTTGAAATGACTGGTGACCAGGTTGGTCATTCTTGATTTGGCTCGTGGACCCAAATAAAGTTGCCCATCCCTGATGTACACACACATACTCAAAACACAGAATATGTGTTGATTACTTTCAGATATTTTCTGCGAAAATAAGCAGTTGGTATTATATGTAACTTCTCATCACATATCGTAATGTACTGGGTTTTCTTTTTGTAATCTTATTATCTTCACAGGAGATATGGGTAATTCTATCTTTTATTTGTCGACAGAGGTTCTAAGAATACCATAGGCCAAGAATAAAATCAATGTTGACATCCCAAGAAGTTCTGAACCTCGAGGAAGATTGTCTCATAAACAGCATCTTGCCATGGGAACTGAAATACTCCGAGCATATCAAATTCAATTTTGGTTTGGAAAGAACAGTAGTGCACAACATGGCACAGGATATGAGGGGCATGGGCCAACCAGCATGAAGGTGGGCACAGGACATAAGAGGCCCCCTTGGCAGGAAAATGCATGGAGTGTTAGAGCTGGTAAGGAACTGTTTCTTTCAGGTATGTTGTGATGGGGACAACCTTCTATAGAGGATCTGCTACATAACTTGTACACAGCTGTGCCAGAATGTAGGTCAGAGTTGCTCATTATCTCGCATTAAATGCAGCATGAAGAACTCACCTAACCATTACCTTTGTGCCAGACCATGTAGGTACTAAGACAAAAGGAGTGCAGATTACCTGGCAGGCAAGGCAGTCATTATGAGTGGTACAGCACTGGACAGAAGTTAATGCCTTGTGAGATGCATATTGCGAAGAAGATCACAACAACAAGCAGGACTCAGTATCATTGTCCAGGTTGGTGGATAAGGGAGTGCAGAAAGCAGCAGACAGATATGAACATTTTGTGATGTGCGACAGCTTGCTGAGAGGCGTAGGTCCCCATTGAAATGTGTAATCAGGTACAAACGAATACATCTTGATTTAGAATACAATGCCACCAGCCAAGTGTGGCACAACAGTATGAACTTGAATACTTCAAACGCAGTTGAACGATGACCGCTATGAGATAGGTATCATTGGTGTATTGACATACACACTCAATCAACAAATAAGAAATTGTGCAAATAAAAGGACTCTAATGATATCTTCAAACGACAGGTCAACAGTCTGACCTTGGAAGTTCGGACGGTCCCATCGATCTCCTCTTCTGCAGTCTGAACAGGGCAATGTCCCTCTTTAATGATTCGGCCTGGAGAATCCCTCCTTAAAGTTTACCGGCTTCCTGCAGAGTGCAATAGACAGCTTTCCGCTAAGGTTACTAGTGGAGTCCCGGGGTAGTGTCCTCAAGGATCCACTGAGACACGACCACACGTCTGTCTCCTTCAGACTGTAAACATCGAATCTTTCTGTGGCATCCCGAGGTAGAGCGTCCTCAAGGATCCACTGAGTCACGACCACACGTCTGTCTCTTCCAGACTTTATACAACGAATGCTTAGACAACAATTCCTTAACAACATTAGGTATTGTTTTGACATCCTATTTGCTCACTCAGTACTGGTGCGTTTTAGTGCATATCCGCACATGACACATTTCACTAATGGAATAAGGAAATGAGAGAGCAGATGAGTTGGCAAACGCTGGGGGTAATCTCCCACAACCTCATCCACCACACAGCTACAAGGAAACCAAAACAGCGCTAAAGCAGTCTTTCAAGCGGGAGTGGAGAAGGCAGAGTGGAGAAGGCAGAATGGAGATTACAGGCCAGAGAGTGACAGCATAAACAAACTCAACAGGAAAGAACATCAATTTTTAGACTTTGGACTGGACACTGTGGTCTTCAAGCACACCTGTACAGGATAAGCATAAAAGAATCTGCTGCCTGTGATTGTGGAGCAGAAAGATAGACCCCTGAGCACATACTGCAGTACTGCCCTAACTTCTCCCAGCAAAGACTGTGGATCTGGCCCAAGGGAGTCACTTTGCAAGAGAAGCTATGGGGGACCGGTGGCAACCTTAAACACACAATCCTATTTGTGACCCAGACAGGACTCAGTGTTTAGCATGACTGATGTCGAACGCAGAAGAAGAAGAAGCAGAAGAAACTAATGGAATATGACGTCTGTTAATCAACACAGAATTGGCGTTATCCATCATTTAACTGAGCAGAAGATCAGAGAATCTATGGACCTACTGGGAGTGCTGTGAAGATGTTCTCAATAATCACTTAATATCTTTGCCAGGCTGCAGTGTTTGTGCAATGTGTATTGAAAGCCTCTTGTGTTGTTTCATCAGTGTGGCTCTGACTGTATAGTTTCTGTTTACAAATTATGGTGAAACAACATGAGTACCCTGAACAGATGGCTATGGATGAAGCCAGTCAAGAATGCTTTGCAGGAAGCTAAAGAAGAACAGTAACTGTTGAGTTGATCTGACAATCCCATAAGTGCTCCATCTCCATATTCAGCAGCCGGCAAAAAGTTCCAATGCTGTGGGTAATAGTAACAGTTAGATTTTTTTTCTTAATGCTTTTCCTATTGAATAGTAACCGTATTTTCTACACTATAAGGAAGACAGTTATCTAGGGATATTTTGTCTCATTTGTCTGATCAGTGTCTTTGATGTCTTCGGGCACAACGACATCAGAATTGACGAACTCTTTCATCACTTCCTTCCCTGCTTCCTGTCGTCGATAGTCTGGCTTGATGGCAACTGTCGGAGAAATATGTACAAATACATTTAAAACACTGTGCCATCTATAAATATTAGCAAGCATATAAACAAAATAGCACTGACTATAGAGATACATAAAACTGTCCACACAACTACCTGTATCTACCTCTTCTGCAGTGCAGGCAGGAGGTGGGGGGTGGTTGGTGTTTGAGCCTGAAGTCTACGGGTCACATGGCCAGGCTGTTGCCTTGGACTCAGCAGGTCAGGATTTTATTTTGTGCCTTTAACAGAAACAAATCCATGGCCTTATTGAAGATTCGAACTTGGGTCTCCCGCATGACAGCCTAGCATTCTCAACTGTTTTGCCAGCCATTCCTCATACATAGAATTGTATAAATGTAGTTATTTTAGATCAGTGGTTCTCAACCTGCTGGTTACGACCCTTTTTTGAGGTCGAATGACCCTTCAATAGGGGTCGCCTAACACCATCAGAAAACACATATTTATTGAAGTTATAAATGAAAATAATTGTTTGTGGGGTCTCCACAACATGAGGAAATTGTACTAAAGGGTCGCAGCATTTGGAAGTTTGAGAGCCACTGTTTTAGATGGTTGGCTTCTGATACCACATAAAGATTAGTGCAAGTTAGACAAGAATGATACATGTATTGAGGTAGATTTTAGGGAACAAAATGCCATAGATTGCGTTGCATGAAGGGGAATAAAGAAGAAGAAATGCACACATGTGTGTGCTGAGAACTGAGCATCTCAGAAGAAGAATAAATGTAAAAGCAACAATGTTCCTGAAATCATCATCTTCATCCTATACCACTGTGTGTCACCAGTTTCTGTTGACTGTCTGATCAGTTCTCACCAGCTTTGATGGTCACAAGCAATGGACTTCACAATTGAATGCCTAAGGTCTGTCCAGTCAATCAAGTTCAGTATCCAGTTCATTCTTGGTCTGCCTCTTCTCCTCTTCCCCTCTACTGAGCCCTGTAGTACTGTTTTTGAGAGGCCATTAGATCTTATTACATGTCCGTACCATTGCATTTTTCGTCCTTTTACTGTAGTTAAAAGGGGTACATAGTTTTCGACGGTGGAAGACTTTTCTTCACATGAGTTGATCTTGCTAGTCACACTTGCCATCACCTTAAGCTGTGATTTGATTCCTATGGCTCCCTCGTGCACAATGAAAAACTACCATCTGAGAAGATGGAAGGGTAGCAACATCAAAGGTGAATTTTTTTTAATCGTACTGAGTGTAAAATTGATAAGATGTACTGTTTGATACCTTTGCTACATAATATGGATGTAGGCTTTCCAAATGTTACTGAAGTTCAAATGTATGTGTATGCTGTCCATTTGTTCCTGAAGTCTACATGAGTGTTTGCTGTCCGTATGTTGCTGAAGATCATGTGTGTATATGCTATCTATCCATATGTGTATAGGCTGTCCATATGTTACTAAAGTCTATACATGTGTATGCTGTCCATATGTTACAGAAGTCCATATGTGTTTATACTGTCCATATTTTACTGAAGTCCATATGTGTATATATGTTTATATGCTGTCCATATGTTACCGAAGTCCATATGTGTACATCTTGTCCATATGTGTACATCCTGTCCATTTGTTACTGAAGTCCATGTGTCTGTATGCTGTCTACCTGTTACTAAAGTCCATATGAGTAGCCAATAACAGTAACAGCGTAGCCTAAATGGTATGATGACTAAAGCATTTCATCAAGAGACCGACTGTCTCATTCTTTAGAGAAACTTTCCCGCAGAATCTTTTGAATTATGTTGTCTTTCATGTATAAGACAATATGTTTTCCAAAATGTTTTTCAGTTTAAAACTGAGTTACTGTAACAGCATATTTTACTGAAGTCCAAATGTGTATATGCTGTCCATATGTTACTGAAGTCCATATGTTCCTGAAGTCTATATGTTACTGAAGTTCATATGTTAGTGAAGTCCATATGTGTATATGCTGTCCATGATCTTACACAAAGAATGTACTGAAACTCTTTATTTTGAAACAAGCCCTGGTCTAGGTACCCGTCATCAGTTAAACTGTGATACCCAGCGATGCAAATGAAGAATGATTGATTATGTTAAAATTTAAAAGAAACACACAAACAAACAAACAAACCGGACAACCAACTTACTTGTAATGATTCCTCCAATCAGTAAACTTATACATATTGTAATGTTAGCACTTAATACTGAGATTGACTCCATCATAGCACGCATTGAGACAGTGTAGATGATTCCGAAAACCTGAAAAGTGAAAGTAAATTGACCTGAAAATCACTGTTTAAACTTGCTTTCTTCTGTGCTTTATCACCAAGTGGAGCATAGGCTCTTTAGTCAACTTACATCAAATCATTCAGTGCTACTGCATGCAGCTTTCCCAATGTCCTTCCCATCATGTTAACTTTAGACTCTGGCTCCTTTCTCAGTGTTTTTTCTGAGTGCCTTTATTCCTCTGACCCTGTGGACTCCAGTGCAATAACTTTCTATTACATTATTTTAAGGTTTTCCCAGTGTATGTCCTATCCAATGACAATGTTTTCTACTCACCTGATTGAACATTATCTGTATATATAAATATACATTCTAAAACTGTAAGATAAGACAGTTGTTTACCATCCAGTGAAGATGGAACTTTAACACCTCTCCTCAAGCCTTCATCTGAAGATTTGTTTTCAGCATGTACAGCCTTGTCACACTTAATGTTTATACATCCATTAAAATGACAATTGTGTCATAATCCATATGGCTAAGATGACAATAGATTGGGATGTCCTACAATACACAGCATTTCATCTCATACTCACACACCTAATATTTGTTGAGTGGGAATCTTAGCACCAATGGATGTGTCAGTGAGGACAACCTAACTCACAACTTATAACTTTCCCTAACATTGATTTTTGAAGGAAGTTACTGTTGTAAAAAAGCTATCAGTTCTTATCTGATTTACAGATATGCCTATAAGTTACTCCCACATGTAGGGGTTTTCATTTGGGTTATCCCTGTAGATATTTCCTGTAAATGCCAGGGAACTGTTGTGAGTATGTGCGTGCGCGCACACACACACCTACACAGTCACACATGCAAGCTCTGGTTGTACCCATCACAGGATGGTATCTTCTGCTGGCCAGTTTATTTGTTTGTTCATTCATAATTATCACTAAGAAATATGGATATTTGCTTATAATATGTTTCACTGCTTAAAATGCCCACTTGCTCAAACAATACATGGCTAAAAAAAAAAGGTAAAGTCAGGAGATGTGAACCAGCGTTATTGCAAACGGTTATAAACCATAAGTGCTCTTCCACCAGTATGGACAGCTGATAAGAATTGTCCGCCTGTGTCGCCGTCCGCACGTAACTCTGTAGCTACAGCGACGTTCCTCCATTTATCCCAGAGTCTTAACTCTGGTAACCATTTCCTAAAAGCTGGGTGAACCCCGGGAACCGCTCGGTTTCGAACACCGACCGTGAGCTGCAGCGAGTTGCAGCTGGATTTGAAAGCGAGCCTCTTATCCACTGTGCTAACGCGGCCCCCGTACATGTCTATCTATTGTCTTTCTCTGCTTCATGCTGTTAGGCATCACAGGCACAGCTAATGATCAGTTTCTGGGATAGTGCTTGCTTGTTAGCTTGCTGCGTGGTTATTTTGTTGAGTTTCAGCATCTTGTTAACCCCATCTATCCAAATTCCTCTTGACCTACCCCTGTCTCTTGATGTTTGCATTCTTATGTTGTATGGTCTTGCAACTGGTGATACTGTGATCATTATGACCAGGTGGCCAAACCATTGCAGTATATATTTTTTTTTCTTAATAAGATGAAGCCTTATTACAGTTTTTTTAAAACAGAGCCTTACGACAAATCTTTGGACCCATCAAAGATGCAAACAGAGGTGAATAGAGAGTGAGAAGCAACAACGAAATTCATAATCTGCTTAAATCACCACTGATCACTGGCATCATGAGAGCTAATAGACTTGAATGGTTGGGGCATATTGAAAGAATGACAGATAACAGAGAAGTAAAAACTGTGTACACCAGGGAGATGAATGGTTGTAGACTATGAGGCAGACCAAGAAGAGGATGGAGAGATAATATTCAGACAGACCAGCAAACACTTGGTGTCACCAACTGGAAAGAAAGGGCCAACATCTAATTTTACATGTTATTAGTTTCCATTCTTGTTCTTTTGTTAATGCCAAGGTTTGTTTTTGGCATGTTGGAAAAAGCCTGCGTTTATGATTTGTCTTTTAGTTTCCATTGGTATTGTTGGGTGTTTCAGTTTAAGGGAAAGCTGATTTTGAACACACATGTGGCTGATGGTTGGTACATATACAAAGAAGAGGCTTGCTTCTCTGGGGATAGGATCCCAGAATAAATGTACTGCTAGCTCATCATCAAGTGCCATGCCAACTGGCTTGGGCGACCATGCCTCTCCACAATCTGCAATCTTTAACAGCATACATCAGTTCGTGTGTTGATACCCCTCCGTCCCATGACAAAAGGCTGTCAAGCATCATCTTGTGTTGTCTTCCTCAGTCTCTTTTTCCACAAATCTTTCCAGTGGTCACAACATGTTCCAGTTTCCTTGTTCTCTTAACATGACCTGATGACTATCTCTTTCTGATGTTTGTGATAAGTTGTCTTTGAACCCTTGCCACTTTCACAACCTCTGTGTTGCTTCATTATAGCCGCCCAAGGAATATTAAAATTTGTTCATGTAAAACCAAGGCCTCAAGAAATTGTTTGGTGACTTGTTTATGAATTGTTCAGGATTCACAGCCATATGTTAAAACTGGCTCTATATAAGCTTACAAGAAATCTAACTTCCACTGTCATAGATTTATTGCACAAAATGGCTGATACATTCACAAATTGCTTCAGGATAAAAGCTTCAAAGGAAACATAATATTTGACAGACCTGTGCACTTGCACTCAGAAGTCCCGAAGATGTCCCTTCCGACTCTGGGAAAGTCAGTTCAGCAGCAAATTCATATCCCACAGGGAGATAACCTGTCATGAAAAACCTGAAAACACATGTTATTAATTCATAATAAGATGAATCAAAATTATCGGCTGAAGATTGATAAACAAAAAAAAAAAAAAAAAAAAAATTCATAAATACTGACTGACAGTACAAGTAAACACAGCACACAAGGGCAACCCTCCCCCCCCCCCCCATTTTTTTTAGAGCTAATAACAAAAGTGTTAAAGAGTTAGATATCAAGTCTTTCAGGGGTATAACAACCAAATTCTTCATGTTGCCAGGTTATTTATACAGGACTAGTAATCTCCTTGTGAGATGCAATTTTTCGTTATTTTGAAGTCCCACCCTGGCTCTTGCCTGGGGCCGCTATATAGCCCGACCATAAATATGGCCCAATGGCTGAAAGCGGTTTCTGGGACCTCTCCACGGGTGATCCTTATCCACAATTTGGCATTTTGTGTCATGGGGTGTTTATCGCTTGTGTGATGTCCTAGTGGGGTTAAAATCTTCTACTACTACTGTTGCCAGGCAATGATCAAGAAAATGTGATATTCTATCATCTACCATTAACGCTGCAATATCTGTAAAGTCTTTTTCTTTAACATTTCCCACCTCCTCCCTTTTCATTCCAAAACATCATCATCATCATCATCACCATACAGCAATCCTTTGCACAACATCACTCTCATCCGGGTCTGCCTGAAACCCCCCCCCCCTCCCCCATCCCCCCAAAACAACTCAGTCTCTCACCAGCTCTCCTGCCTCGTGTACATTTTCAAGGAGTTACTCAAATCCTGTGCCCATCTTCGTGTGAGTGTCTTGGGATAATAATGTTTTAGTTTCCCCTCTGCTTTCCAAAACATCTATTAATAAAGAGCTGTTTCTCTTTATATTTCCAAAGTATCCTGACACTGATCAAATTCATTGATATTTAAAAAATCTATTTTATTAATACTTCTTTGTTTTCTTCTCCTGCTACATTTTTCATCTACTTCATCTACACAACCACATTTGGAAAGCTTCTATCACATAATTTAATCACCATAAAATATTTCTAAAAAATACAGTAATGTTGAATAAATATAATGTGGGGAAGCCATGATAGCATAGAGGCACATGCTTTCCTCCTAGTCTGAAAGTCTGTGGTTTAAATTGAAAACAGTAAGAATTTTTATGATGACTTTCCACTCTTAAGTCACCCAGCCTGAAAAAGGTACCATGAAATGTCCGGGAAATCAAAGTGGCTGGCAAGATTTTGGCAACATTATCCTGCTGGCTGGTCTGTAAAACTGTGGGTTTACCTGGCCTTAGATGTCCTTTTTGCCAATTTGTAAGGCACAGGATACAGACAAGAGGATTTGCTTGTAGCCCCTTAGAGGACATTAAACAAAAATTAATCATCCTCAAGTGCCTTGCTGACTGGTGTGGGCGATCAAGCCTCTCTTCAATCTGCGATCCGCAGCTGCGTGTATCAGTTTTTATGTTGACACCCCTCCATGCCATGAAAAAAGGCTGTCAAAAATCTTCTCACACTGTCTTTCTCTATCTCTCTTTCTACAGATTTTTTCAGTGGTCATTTTTTCCAGTTTCCCAGTTCTCATAACATGACCAAAACATAACGACTGTCTCTTTGTGATGTTTGTGATAAGTTGTCTTCGAGCCCTCACTTTTTTTTTCAAAACATCTCTACATCTCCAAGGCCTCAAGAAATTGTTTGGCTTGTTTGTTCATTGTCAAGGATTCACAGGCGTATGTTAAAGCTGGCTCTATATAGCATGAAAGAATAATTTCCTCAAGTCCAGTGGCATAGACAAATAAACTACTTACCCTAATACACCTGCTGTAACAAAGACAACCCACAATTCATTGAGATTTAGGGTGAAGGTGAACGCTAGAGTCCCAGCAAGTGTGAACAAATAAATGCCGACTGTTGTCCCCCTAGAGAAAAAGTGGAAGATAAATCATTATCATCATGTAGCAGGTCCTTTGCAGAACGTCGCTCTCATCACAGTCTGCCTGAAAGAAACTCTGTCTCTCACCAGCTCTCCCGCCTCATGCACTTTCACACTCAAGGAGTTACTTATATCCTGTGCCCATCTTCGTGTCGGTCGGCCCCTGCCCCTCCTTCCTGGTACCATGCCTTCTGCTATAATTTGTTCCAATCCATTGTGCCGCTTGATATGACCAAAATATTTCAGCTTTCGACAAAGGATGCTGTTTATTAGCCAGTCTTCCTCGGTGTTCAGATCTTTTAAGATGTCAATATTTCTCATCTTCTTTGTCCAAGATATTCTGAGAATCTTTCTATAGCATTTCAGCTCAAAAGCCCCTATTCTTTTTCTTATAAGGACTGAGAGATAGTCCACGACTCACATCCGTATGTAGCCACAGGGAAGATGCATGCTCTCAAAATTCTGTTTATTAGCCAATCTTCCTTGAGGCAGATAAATTAGTTACATAAAATTAATTAATTATATTTTGTTGGAGTTTCAAGCTTGGGAGACCACAATCTCCAGTTTGAGAAGGGAGGTAGAGGCAGTCACTGCAGCTTTCCACTGGCATGAGAACCAGCTGCATGCACATTTTGTGACTGTAACAGACTCCAAAAGCATGCTGGGAAGGTAGAGACAGGCATGCTCCAAAGATTGCTTTAGAAGTTTTAATGACACAATGTTAATGAGATTGCCTAATTATTCACAGTACAGTTTCTGTCATAATCAAAACTGCAATTAAAGCAATATGTGAAACAAAACAAATTACATACCAGTCATATAAATAATTACACAATGTATAAATATAAAAAATAACAAACACATATACTCTGAAACCTCGATAAACTCTATATATCCCAATTATAACCTTGGGGGTTGAACAGGATATTAAAAAAAATTAAAATTGACTAATACTATTTTAAAGGTCCTAGGTAGTTGGTGTTTTTTTAATGTTTTCTCCAGGGTGCATTAGTGTTTTGTGAAACTAACAGGTAGACAGACCAGCTAGTTCTGCAGCACTTGGTGGGAAACCGGTGCAAAACAAGCTAGACGCAATCAAGGCTCTTTGAGTATAACTGAATTATGTAGAAATAGAAGTGAGTAGATCAATATGGTCTGGAGTAAATATAGCAGCAGGGAGTTACCAGGGTATATGGCCCACAATCAACATTCACAAGGGATATAGCCAACAATCAACACTCACAGGGAATATGGCCAACAATCAACACTCACAGGGAATATGGCCAACAATCAACACTCACAGCGAATCTGGCCAACAATCAACACTCACAGGGGATCTGGCCAACAATCAACAATCACAGGGAAGGCAAGATAAACATATAATCAGACTGCTACAGCTATCGTCAGAACTGGGACTCTGCACTGGCTGCAGAAGATATGGACACGGCACTTATGGGAATATCCTGAGTGCCATCTTTCAGTCTCAGAAAGCTATTGCCTTAATATCTTTCTATTTTGAAGAGTCCTTTTTTAGAGCAAGAATCTTAGAGTGTAAGAGGGCCCATTTCACTGCCTTCAGGCATATAGGGCTAGACCTTATATTTTATAGACCAATCGCCACTTGGTGGGTGATGTGGTTAACATTGCGCAGGCCGCCTTTGCTTCCTAGGACATCACCTGGTACCCATTTAAGTTCGGGTCGATATGGGAGCCAAGGTCGTTTCCGAAGAATATTCAGCTCTGTTCTTAGAGTGTGGGGGAGTTAAAATAATACAACTGTGGGCCAGTACAAATTAAAGAACCAGCTTCGATAAAATGGGTTAAGAAAACAGAAGAATTAGACAAAACAAAGCTGAGAAATATATAAACTAATAAATATATAGCTGATCCCTTGCTATTGAAAGAGTTAAAATTCTAAATAAAAATTAACATCTAAAGAGCATACTTATAAGTTTTTGTCTTGTCTAGCCAAACACCAGCAAGAATGGAACCAAAGACTCCCATCAGTACAATTGTAAGACCAATTCTTCCAGCATTTTCTCCTTCACCCTGTGCATTAAAAAAAAAGAGATAATCGTAGTAATTAGGTCAGAAAAACAATCAATTAAATGTATACCTAATCATGGATTGCATGGATATCATACTGGATGCAACAGCAATATAATCATACACAAGGCATGGTCAGGGCTGCGCCATGCTATGATACAGAAACATGGCCAAATCAGGTGGCACAGTAAGGAAAGTGGCAAAAGAACTGAAAACAAAATACAATTAGAATTTTTGATCTGACAGTGCGAAGCTATTAGGGGCAGCAAAGACTTGTATCATTCTGCATGAGACTGGACATGGTCAGATGTGACCTCTCGGAAAAT